TATTAGTCCAAACACATAAAATTATGAAAATAATTAAGCTGCACAATAATTAGTAGCTTTGGGTCTCGTGTATCAATATAAACTATCTACTTCCTGTATTTTCTAGAAATTCCACTCAATAATGGCATAAACTTTTAGTTTTATAGAGATAGAATGCTAGATTCCCTCTGCAAACCTTTTAGTATGAGTGAAGTGTGTGAAAGCTCATGCAATGTAACTGCTATTTTTACATCTTAAAAATACCCCAGTATTGTGTATACCTTGATGCATCTGAGTTGGTACTGGGAGACTAAATAACAGTAGGAGGGATTAGAGAGCCCTAGGAGCTTTTCTCATAGTTGTTTCAGATGTCTGATAGCATTCTTAGGAAACAAGCAGAAGAGAGAAGCCCATTTTTATTAGCTTTGTAGCAAGCATCTGTTGCAAACAGAGGCTAGTATTTCTTGGGTTGTTTTGTAGGAGGACTCATTTTCAATGGCTACAGAATAGTGCCAAAATCTCAAAGTATGGCTAGGTGACTTCAGAGTAAGCAACCCAAACAATGTTTTATATATTTCGAGTAGGTGGATTTGATTTCATAGGAGCTAGAAAATCCAGGCAAGTAACTTACCTCTGTAACTTTAGACATACCATCTTTGGAGATCTGAGCCTTCATCACTGAGGGGATGATCTTTCTTGACCAAGGCTTGTGAGGGTCCACTGGAGGTGATGGCTCAGTCCATGGAGTTAGTGCTTTGGTTGTGAATATTGTCCTGTTAGCAGTGAAATACTCTCCTTGAAAAATACACCTTTTGATGTACCAGTCTTCAAGAGAGACAGGTGATAAAATTACAGGGAGACAAGACAAGGGGTATATCAAACTGCGACTAAATAATGATTATTACCAAAATAGAGGTGTAAGCTCAGTAGTTCTCTTTTTAGAGCCAAATAACAGAATAGGTTTTTCTTTTATGTTTTCACATTCTGTACAGATTTGTATCCGTTTTACAGAAAAATGCTGGAAGAAATGTGAGAAGTTTTAGCTTCTAAAACTACTTTGATGTAAAGATGCAGTGACTCTTACCTGATAGTGTTTTCCAGAAGGGGCACTGCAGCCTGGGACCCCAGAGCATCAGAGGTTCCACAGGAACCTGCTGGGTGTTAAGTTTCTCTGTTTAATTACGTCTAGGCACTATTTATGCTTTTTCTGTATTTTTTTATAACATATAAATGTATTTATAGTTTATAAGTGTGCTTCATATATATATGTGTAAGATACAAGCTTATTTGAGGTAAATAGAAGAGTGTTTCTAATTGAGAATGCTTGTTAGTGATTCATCTAAATGACATAAGAAAGTGGCAAATTTTTAATGTGAGTGAAAGGTAAACAGTTTATTTGGAGTACCACTCATTATATACTCCTTGTGAGCTTCAGTGGATGGTGTGTTAGCCAAATGAAGAGAGCCTATGTTATTCTGAAGGAAAGATGATGAGCTATTGAAGCTGAGGCAGCTAGAAAAAAGAAATATGATTATTGTTTTCCCTTTTGTGTTTCTCAGGTACTGTAACAGAAGAATATAACTTAATTTCACTTATATGACATTTGGCTAGAATCCTTGTAGCTATTTTAGGAAGCCAGATTAATTAGTCTCTATGAAGTAACGTGTTCAATGCTGTCTTTAAGTGGCAGTTGTTGCCATTTAGTACCATGTTGAGAAAGTTCCCTGTTAAGTTTTTAATTTTAATAGAATGTGGAATACCTGATCTTTTGCTTTGTTAGCATGGACATAAATGGTTAGATGATAGATGCCAACAGTAGTGGATCAGGAGAAGGAATGGGAGACTGGCAGGAGGACAGACGATGCCTTGCCCATCTTGATCTGATTTCTTTCTTTACTGATCTTGGTATCATTAAAAATACTTAATGGCAAAAGAGAAACTGTGAGCACTACTTGAACTGTTTAGGGGCAAGAAGCTATCTACAACTCTAATAGCTGGCCTTCTCACTTCAGGGAATGCTAACTCTTTTGTCCCTGCTCCAAGTGCTGAGTGCTGCTCCTAGCATGCCTCCAGGCCTACTGACTAGCCCAGGGTTCTCAGGACCTGTTGACAGTTTGGTTGCAGGTAGCTAGGTGCCCATATTTTTAATTCTTTTAGAAGTTAAATTTTATCTGGAAAAAAGCCTTGTATTTTTTTTTTTTCTCGATTCATGAAAAGCTGAAACTTTTAAGACCAAAATTGTTGCTTCCTGATCAAGCAGAGGAGTGGGTTGTTGAGAAATGTCAGACTGCCTGGTCCAAGCCAGGATGTTCTCTGAGATTTATTTTTTGGCCTGCTCCTTAGCTATGTCACTGCTATTCAAATAAAGCACCACCTCACAGTCACATAAGCACATCGTCACCTTGACTTGTGAATAGATTTTGCTGTATGAAGATCAGAATGCTGTGTACCCTGCTGGATCAAGTCCTTGGTGGAATATATTCTGGATTTATTATTTTTATATTGCGCTGAGGTACATTGACAGAAGATTGGCAACCTAGCCATTGTCATGTAGGGACACTTAAGCTTGCTTGGAATAGATGAGAGGGTTTGCTTTAGATTAAAAAAAAAAAGTAATAACAAAAAACCCCCTGCAGGTTCAGGGCCACAAAATGAGGATGTCCTGCAGTATGCAGGGGCTTTGTGCAGTCACAGGAAAAATATTTTTTCCACAGACCCAACAGTGTAAGAATATATAATAAATATTTTAGCCAAGCTTGAGTTAAAATACAAAGTTTTCCTGAGCACTTCAGAAACTGTGTTCTATAAAAATACACATAATGCTTAAATTCTTCAAAAAGATAACCGTGGTTTACTAAGCAAAAGCTTTCAGACTCAGTTGGTCTTTCCCACCTGCTTAGACCAAAAAGCACAAGAGTTCTTTGTGCAGGCTAGAGTAGATCAGTTTAGCTGTCACATGAGAGGAAGATAGTTGCTTCTGCTTTTTAGAGAACAAGCACAGATTGTGAAGCCTCCACTGTTGTATTACATTGTTCATGAATTCAAGTCCAAGGGCCTCTAAAAGACTTTTTTTATATCAGTTGGGAAGTTAATCATGGTTATATGAACAAATGAAATACTGTGTCATTCTTTCACTGCTGGGATAGTGTTTTCTGTCTTGTATACAAAGTATTCATGCAACTGAGATGGTTCATGCCATGGAATAACTAAAATAAAAAACAGAGTAACTCTATATTTTTAACTTGCATTTATATTATTTTGGAACTGTACTGTTCCTATGCAGAACATAATGTTTATTCAACGACTTTTGTCTTTGAACTGATTTTTTTGACTGAGGAAAAAATGTGAAGTTGATCCTTTTTACACAATAGTTTACACCTTATTTTAAACTTTTAGGGATGTTCTCTGTTTGGACTCTAACAGCTGCTATAATATTTTTGTTTTTCATGAATTATCATTTTGTAATTTTTGTCTCTCTAGAAAGCAATAGTATGGAATTCAATGCTGGGACAAATACTTATGTCACTTGCAATAGTTTTGAAGTTAAGCAAGCATTAATGCTTAACCTCTGAAAAAACATTACTTCTTAGGTTGACTCTATTTATAAACATTTTTAAGTCTTTAATTACTAGACACTGTCTAAAATCAGTTATTAACAGTAGGTTTAGATGCTTGAAAGAAAATGTATTGTTTACAGTATCCAGCTGCTTATTACATTTCAGCACTCAACAGGAAGAGTTATTTCCTGCCTCAGAATACTTTGTTTCCTTTGTCTCTACAATGAGAGAAAAAAAATACCAGGGCTACCTCTTTTGACCAGTGAAAACTTCTAATTTTCTAAGTAGGGATTTGTGATAAATGAACCTTAGTAATACTTTGCTGATGAAGATAGGAATTACAGTTTTAACATCATCTTATTGCCATGAATGTCACAGGGCATATGCTGTAGGTCATCATGCAATATATAAATGTAGTTTTAACTGCATAGCTAAATGTTTTAGAAGCTGAAGACTGCATGTGTGAAAGCAGCAATTGTAACTGAATTACTATATAGCCTTATATTCCACTTTAAGTTGTGATTTTATTCTTGAAATAAAATTTCATTCTGAGAGTTGGCTTAAGCAAACTTACTTCTTTTTAAAGCTAACTTTAAGAAGATGGGTGGGGATCATGTGCTGCTCCTGCTTAAGAATCTGGTTTTCTTGGTGATTTAGCAGCTAGCTCAACAGAATCAGGAAATCTTCCAGACTGTTCATATTTGGTTTTCAGCGTCTGACAGTATTTTTTGCTGCTTTGTTGTTGGCAGCAATCACAGCAACTACTTTGCTGTAGGTCAAAAAAGTTCAAGCTGAGATAGACGACACTTTCATTTTACAGATACAAACTTGCTGTGAATTTTGCTATAATTATAGCTGACTTGAATTACTTTTGAGTCATCAGTCACCTAGAAAGCAACACTCAAGGCCACTAGCCTTACTTTCATGAATTCTGTGTCTACTATAAACATATTTACTGTGTATTAGTTTACAAGCCCTCTTTTCTGAAGAGGACTACATAAATAGTTTCATGCTTGTGCATCCTATGAAGATGGAAAACTTTCGCCATTCATTTATGTTCATTTTGTAAATTGTTTTAAAATAGAGTTTGCAGTCTTTGAATTGCCAAGGAATGCATGAACCATCACAACACTTGTGAAACTTTTGGTGAATGTCATGACATATAGGGTAATTTTTGTATTGGTTTAATATTTGCCGAGACCTTCCTTTCTGCTGGGTGTCCAATGTTACAAGCAGTACACGCATTTTAAGAAATAGCCCTCAAAACAGGTATGCTGGAAATGGCAGACTAGCAAATTAGTTGTAAGTCTTATGAGGCTTGCTGCAGTTAGTTGGAAGTGATGTTTTAGTAGCTGCGTTGTAAGGAGATGGACAATAGGATGGCACAAAGTTTAAGAATGCTGTGGTATTACAGTTTAACTAAAAATAATTGTATTTATGACCTTTTTTCTTTGCTGTAGTCGTGACATGGAGAATAAAGAAACCCTCAGGGGGTTGCAGAAGATGGAAGACCGCCCAGAAGAGCGCATGATCAGAGAGAAACTCAAGGCAACGTGCATGCCAGCCTGGAAGCATGAATGGCTGGAAAGAAGAAGCAGGAGAGGCCCTGTGGTAAGTGGCACTGATGGAAGGGCAGTATCTGTAACAGCTGTTACAAATAAAAATCCCTTAAATTTCTTTCTGTTAGAAACCTCTTTATCTTAACAATTTGCATACTCTTAATTATGGTCCTCTTGTTCATTTTTATGAATATTTTTCCTGTTTAACAGGAAACTGTGACTGACTTTCTGAAATGTATGCATTTATTAAGCTTTATTTTTGAGAACATACAGTTGTGCTGCTGATTGTGTAGTGTTAACTGTGACAACACTGCCCTCTAATGTCAAGAACAAAAGTAGCTCCTGTTCATTAGGCAAAAACTTGAGTACAAAACTGCATTATAGTCCTTTGTACTTCCTTAATTCTTAGGGGTTTCATGAATTCACTTTTCTGTAGTTTGAAAATGTTAGTTTTCTATGTATTGTAATGGAAGTATATGGAATTTTTGCTAGATGAGAAAACAAACGGCAATCTTACTGGAACCAGAAAAAAAACAAAGCTGAGTAACTCTTTCACACAAATCTCAACGCTGCCAAATTTTGGATGCCAGAGTATTCTATTAGCCTTTTGGGTAATCGTTGTGTATAAATTGTTCAGAAGCGGTTTTAAGAAATTGTGGGCAGATCAAACCTGAAACTTACTAAGCATAGTTACAATTCTAGTCAGTATAATGCTGGTTAATTAATAACAATTAATTACCTGGAAGTATAGTTGCATTGATTGATGTGACTCCCATGTACCACTTGATGAGAGTGCTAATTTAAAGCTAACATTGTCTGATGCAGTAAACAAGTGTTTGGCAGCAGCTTTTCTAGAACAGAAATAACAGGGCTCTGTTGGCAACCTTCTGTCATGAGAAAGAACATTGAAAATACTTACCAATGCACCAAAAAAGCAGTACCTCAAAGTGTCAAATAATGCAAAACAGTTCTTACTTTAAAATATTTTAAATGTGTCTTTGTTACTGCATAGCTTGAAATTGTTTCCCTGCTCAGCCCACTTCCCTTAAGGTTTCTGGGTTTTTTTAATACAACTTTTGATGCTCCAGATTCTCAATTACTACTATTTTACAATTTTAATATTTTCACGCAGTAGTAGCTAGTAACTGTAACTTGTCCATAGGCACATGAATTCGCATTCTGACCTTCCATGAACAAAAAAGCCTTTAAAGTAATCGGGGGGCGGAAAGGCTGAACTGCTTTTCATACTTCTCCTTTATGCTGTTCACTTTCATAATCAGATGGCAATATATTTAAAAACAATAACAACAAAGCTTTTTGAAAAGTTCAGGTTTGCAATACATCAAATATGGTTACTTCTTAAATTAAAACGAGCAGTGCTTGGATCAAGGTTGTAGATGCAGGTTTTTCTTCTCCTAGGCAGTGCTTAACTGCCGAACCAC